AGGCTGACGCAGGTGAATCGCTTGAACTGGGAGATGGAGGCTGCAGTGAGCCAAGACTGCTACACTGCTTTCCAAACTGGGTGACAGAGCGAGGCTCTATCTCAATTTAAAAAAAAGAAGAAGAAGCAGGGAGCGATGGCTCATGCCTATAATCCCAGCACTTTGGGAGGCTGAGGTGGGTGGCTCATGAGGTCAAGAGATGGAGACAGACCATCATGACCAACATGGTGAAACCCTGTCTCTACTAACAATACAAAAAATTAGCTGGGCATGGTGGTACGTGCCTGTAGTCCCAACTACTCAGGAGGCTGAGGCAGGAGAATCGCTTGAACCCGGGAGGCGGAGGTTGCAGTAAGCCGAGATTGCGTCACTGCACTCCAGCCTGGGAGACAAAGTGAGATTCTGTCTCAAAAAAAAGAAAACTGTAATGTAACATTATGTATCTAGAGAGACACACGGACAAAGGGAACAAGGAAAAAAAAAGTTGTTTGATGAAATTACTGATGTGTTTTTCCATTAACATTTCTTTTTGTATTAAATAGTTTACTGTGAAAACAGAGTAACCAAATTTTTAAAATAACATATAACTTATGTAGTCTATTTACTTACCTTCAAACAAAAGTACAAGTAAACTTTCCAGACAGGGTTCTGTCTACACTATAACTTTCCCAGAGGATTCATAGTCTAACTTTCTGTTTATAAAAGCTAACATGTAGAGTTCTGATACTGTAAAAAATATTTTTTGCATATAGGTCAAGTGGGCTAGTTTTTTTTCTTTTCTTTTTTTCTTTAAACACAACTGTTTTTGTTTTAAGTTTAGGTTTTGGCGCCAGGTGTGGTGGCTCATGCCTGTAATCCCAGCACTTCAGGAGGCTGAAATGAGAGGATCGCTTGAGGCTAGGATTTCAAGACCAGCCTGGGCAACACAGGCAACACAGCAAGACCTCATCGCCATTAAAAAATGAGAGAGAGAAAAAAATATTTAAAATTTTTAAAAATAAAAAATACAAGTTTAGGTTTTGGGCTGCAGTAAGCCAAGACTGCATGCACCACTGCACTCCAGCCTAGGCGACAGAGCAAGACTCCATTAAAAAAAAAAAAAAAAAAAAAACTGAAAAAAAAAAAAAAAAAGTTTAGGTTTTGGCCAGGTTCAGTGGTCCACACCTATGTAATCCTGGAGCTTTGGGAGGCCAAGGTGGGAGACTAGCTTGAGGCAAGGAGTTCAAGACCAGCCTGGGCAACATAGTGAAACCCTTTTCTCTATAAAAATAATTTAAAAATTAGCCTGATATGGTGGCATATGACTATAGTCCTAGCTACTTGGGGCGCTAAGATGGGAGGATGGCTTGAGCCCAGGAGTTGGAGGCTACAGTGAGCCAAGATGACACACTCCAGCCTGGGCAACAAAGACCCTGTCTCAAAAAAATAAAAAAGTCTAGATTTCATCTTATGATTACCATGTACTTCATTTAAAAAAATTATTTATTATTATTATTTTTTGAGACAAGGTCTCACTCTGTTGCCAGCCTGGAGTACAGTGGCGCCATCATGCTTCACAGCACCCTCGAAATCCTGGGCTCAAGTGATCCTCCCGTCTCAGCCTCCTGAGTAGATAGGACCACAGAAGCACATCATCATGCCAGGCTACTTTTTGTTTTGTTTTTTGTAGAGGTGGGGTCTGTGTTGCCCAGTTTGGTCTTTAATTATTGGACTCAAATGATCCTCTTGCCTCAGCCTCCCAAAGTGCTAGGATTACAGGCATGAGCCACCACACCCAGCCAATTACCATATACTTCCACTGTCCTTTTCCAATCTATCATTTAAATAGATTATGTAATATTTTAACCACCATTTCTGCCCTGCGGATAGAGACAATAGGACCCTAAGGCTAAAGCGTTAAGGCAGTCAGTAGCAAAAATGTCACATAGAACACGAGAGTAGGAAGAGTCCAGTTACTGCAGTAACAATGTAGAGAATCATTCCTTCCTCTGAAAATTTATAACACTTAATATTCTGTGAACAAAAGGATTTAAAGAAAACTGCCTTATATATGGTAGGGACTCAACTTACTTGATGTATTAAATTAAAAAGAGAAATGACAGCAAATCACTTGGTAACAGTAGTATTATAGATTTCTGAATATGACATGAAGCAAATTCTAGTTTGGGCATTTTTCTGAGACAAAGTTTTGTACTTGTTGCCCAGGCTGGAGTCCAATGGCCTGATCTCAGCTCACCACAACCTCCACCTCCCGGGTTCAAGCAATTCTCCTGCCTCAGCTTCCTGAGTAGCTGGGATTACAGGCATGCGCCACCACACCCCACTAATTTTGTATTTTTAGTAAAGACAAGGTTTCACCATGTTGACCTGGATGGTCCCGAACTCCTGACCTCAGGTGATCCACCTGTCTTGGCCTCCCAAAGTGCTGGGATTACAGGCATGAGCCACCAGGCCCAGCCTAATTTTTATATTTTTAGTGGGACAGGGTTTCACCATGTTGGCCAGGCTGGTCTTCAACTCCTGGCCTCAAGTGATCCATCCAACTCAGCCTCCCACAGTGCTGGGATTACAGACGTGAGCCACTGTGCCTGGCCTACAAATAATTTGTTGTATTGATTTTTTAAAATTATATGGATAGATATTATTACCTATGAATGTCATCTCAGGACAGTAAAGAAAACAGTACAAAAATATTTCTGAAAGTATGCTCATCAAAAATGTTTAATGTGGCTGGGTGCAGTGACTCACGCCTGTAATTCTATCACTTTGAGAGACCGAGGCAGGAGGATCACTTGACGCCAGGAGTTCAAGACCAGCCTGGGCAACATAGTGAGACCCTGTCTCTTAAAAATAAAAAAAGTTTAACCTGAATCTAATCAGGCTTTTATAACACATTTCCTATTTACAGGAAGCAAAGGAACAAGTGAAAAGATATATAATGGTCTTATATATCTTATATATAAAACAACCTATGAGACTAGTAGTCTCTGTAACAAGACTTCTATCATGAGGCAGAGGGGAATGTACTAAGAATACATCCAAAGTCCCACATGCTATGCTAAGCATAGAGATTACAAAGATGAGTAAGTCAGTTCCTGTCCTCAAGTAACCTACTGATCAATCTATTCAATAATTGAATATTATAAACTTTTCACTTATTTCTGTGAAGGACATGAAAATAGCAGCAAAAAAAGATAATAAAGTATTACCAGTACCATTTTTCAGCCCCCAGAAGATCCTGATTCACACTATTGGTGCTGTGTTCTCTGCCATCAAATGTTCTGATTTTGGGATATTCTGTTCTTCCTGCACATGCTGCTCTCATTTTTAAATTGAAAGCAGCTTGTGCTATCTGCTTATAATGCTTCCTGCTAACTAGGATCTGTTGCTTCACTTGGTGTAGAGCATCTAAAAAGAATCTTTCCACTTCTGTTCTCTCATCCAGTATGTTCTTGGCCAGCTTCTTCACATGATTCATTTCCCTGTCCTTCATCTGAAGAAGGTGCTGCAGCTTATCAATTTCTACCTGACTTGCTCGGTTCTCTATCATTGTTTGTTGCTGCAGTTTTAAAACTTCGCTCTCAAACTCTTTGGTCATGTGACTCAGAGCAGTCTCCAAGCTTAGTACCTTCTTCTGAAGGGTTTGGATTTGTGATCTCTGCTGGATAAGTTGCATAATCTTTTCCTTAACCAACAGATCATTGATCTCCTAAAAACAGAATGAGAGGTGATTTTTTTTGAGATGGAGTCTCCTCTGTCATTCAGGCTGGAGTGCAGCAGCATGATCTCAGCACACTGCAACCTCCATCTCCTGGGTTCAACCAATTCTCCTACTTCAGCTTCCCAAGTAGCTGGGACTACAGGCATGTGCCACCACACCTGTACTCCCGGCTACTCGGGAGGCTGAGTCAGGAGAATCACTTAAACCCAGGAGGTGGAGGTTGCAGTGAGCTGAGATCATGACATTGCATTCCAGCCTGGGTGACAAAGTGAGACTCCATCTCAAACAAACAAACCAATAACAACAACAACAAAACAACTATCTATCTATCTATCTATCTATATATATATATATATAACTATACAGTAAAACATTAATAACTATATTGGAAACTGTGGCATCTCCTTCTTGCCTATCCCAATATCTATTTTCCCTTTCCTCCTTAGTAATAAAACCCCAACTTCATTCAGAAAGGCAGTAAGTCCAGCTGAAAATTCCCAGTCTCTCTTCAGGTTCAGCATAGCCATTTTCTAGTCAATAAGATCTTTTTTTTTTTTTTGAGACAGAGTTTCACCCTTGTTACCCAGGCTGGAGTGCAATGGCGCGATCTCGGCTCACCGCAACCTCCGCCTCCCGGGTTCAGGCAATTCTCCTGCCTCAGCCTCCTGAGTAGCTGGGACTACAGGCACGTGCCACCATGCCCAGCTAATTTTTTGTATTTTTAGTAGAGACGGGGTTTCACCATGTTGACCAGGATGGTCTCGATCTCTTGACCTCGTGATCCACCCGCCTCGGCCTCCCAAAGTGCTGGGATTACAGGCTTGAGCCACCGCGCCCGGCCTAGTCAATAAGATCTAAGTGGAAATATGTGTAGGACTTCCAGGAAGACCTCTTAAAGAGGCACACTTTTTTCTTCTTTTCTTCCTTCCTGCTATTTAAAGGAATGGTTAGAGCTCCAGCAGCCCCCTTGGGTTGTGAGGTGAGTTTGAGGATGTAAGCCATGTGATGCAGATTAGAGTTAAGGAAGCTGGGTGTCTATTCACTATGTGGTACTACCATTTCTGCTGTGGATTGCTTACCTCCAGGCCTCCTTTAGGTGAAAGAATAAACCCTTGTGTGGTGATGCCACTGATGTTTAGGACTGTTACTCACAGCTAAATGTATTCCTAAGTGACTCAGAGACCAACTCTAAGCAAAGAAAAATAAATATTCTAAGGAGGATAAGGGTCATATTTATGTTTCTGATATATTCTTTATAAAGTTGAGTCTAATGCTTCTTATAAGCATTATAAGATTACCCTTTTCAGATTTAAAAAAAAAAGTGCACCATCCAGACAGAAGAAAAATGGTCTCTTTGTCGTTATATGTCATTATCATACTCAATTTTTGGTATTTACCAACTCAATCCTTGAAAAAAAAAAAGGAAACAAAGTCTGAATGAGAGGGAACCTTTTGATGTAAAAGTAAAGTATGACTCTCTTGCAGCTTCTGGGAGTTTTTTTGTAGAGTGTCAGCTTCCTTCAGGTGATATGCCAGAGCTTTCTGGAGATAAACATTCTCTTTAAAAACATTTCTTCCAGCATCGTTCAATTGCCTGAAATAGATATAAGATCTCAAAACACAGGCCTAACTTTTAGATATCACCGAAATAGAAAAATAATTGCTTTACCATCTGCACCCCCCAATATTAGCAGTAGTGACCACCACTTATACTTATTTAGCTTATGGTAGGTACTCAAAATAGGTGGAGATCTTTTTTTTTTTTTTTTTTTTTTGAGACTTATCTACCCCTAAGGAAATCTTGTAATTAAGTTCTCACCCAATAAAAAAGTGAAAAGGGCCGAAAGCGGTGGCTCAGATCTATAATCGCAGCACTTTGAGAGGCTGAGACAGGGGGATTACTGGAGCATAGGAATTTAAGACCAGCCTAGGCAACACAGTGAGGCCCTATCTCTACAGAAAATCTAAAAAATTAGCCGGGTATTGTGGTTTGCACCTGTAATCTGTCCCAGCTACTCAGGAAGCTGAGGAAGGAGGACCACTTGAGCCCAAGAAGTCAAGGCTATAGCAGTGAGCCGTGAATGCACCACTGCACTCCAGCATGAGTGACAGAGTGAGACCCTGTCTTAAAACGAAATAAATAAAGTGAAAAAAAGATGTTACTTCTAATCCAAGGCAGTTAACAGCAGGTATGAGTCTCCCATGCTCTTTCCTGTGCACATGGCTGGACATGAAAAACTCCAACATGGCAGAGGTGAACGAAGGAAGTAGTCAGGTTCCTGAATCAACCCTGGAAGAGAGCTGCCAGACCCATATTGGATTGATTGTTTCATAAGCAAGAAATAAACCATTAAGTCCTGAGAGTTAGAGGTACTTCCACTAACATACCTCATGACAACCCTGCAAGATTGCTATTATTAGCCCTGGTTTTATTATTTATTTACTTTTATAAACTCAGATTACTGGGAGAAGTAAATTAGCCCTGCTTTTCGATGAAGAAATTTAACTTCAAGAAAGTTAAGAAATCTGGCTTGGCACAGTGGCTCCCACCTGTAATCCCAACATTTGGACAGGCCAAGGCGGGTGGATTGCTTGAGCCCAGGAGTTCGAGACCAGCCTGGGCAACATGGCAAAACTCTGTCTCTAAAAAGAATACAAAAATTAGCTGGGTATGGTGGCATATACCTGTAGTCCCAGCTACTCTGGAGGCTGAGGTGGAAGAAACACTTAAGCCCAGGAGGCGGAGAATGCAGTGAACCATGATTGTACCAATGTACTCTAGCCTGGGTGACAGAGCCAGACCTTGTCTCAAAAACAAACTAACAAAAAAGGCCGGGCACGGTGGCTCACGCCTGTAATTCCAGCACTTTGGGAGGCCGAGGCCGGTGAATCACAGGGTCAAGAGATGGAGACCATCCTGGCCAATATGGTGAAACCCATCTCTATTTTAAAAATACAAAAATTAGCTGGGTGTGGTGGTACACACCTATAGTCCCAGCTACTTGGGAGGCTGAGGCAGGAAGATCACTTGAACCAGGGAGCTAGAGGTTGCGGTGACCTAAGATCGTGCCACTGCACTCCAGCCTGGCAACAGAATGAGACTCCATCTCAAAAAAAATAAAAATAGAAAAAGGGTAAGAAATCTTCCTATTATTAGTTAGTATACATGTTCAGAACCAAAGTCAAGTTCAGGCTTGGCACACTGGATCATGCCTGTAATCCTAGCATTTTGGGAGGCTGAGGTGGGTGAATGACTTGAGGTCAGAAATTCAAGACAAGCCTGGCCAACATGGTGAAACCCCATATATACTAAAAATACAAAAATTAGCCAGGCACGGTGGTGGGTGTCTGTAATCCCAGCCAGTCAGGAGGCTGAGACATGAGAATCGCCTGAACTCAGGAGGTGGAGGTTGCAGTGAGCGGAGATCATGCTACTGCACTCCAGGCTGGGTGACAGGGCGAGACTCCATGTCAATAAATAAATAAATAAGCAAGCAAGTTCAAAGCCCAGGTTCTTTCCACTGCACCATCCTGCCACAGAAAGAGTGGAGGAAAAAGGGGTGGGAGTACACGAAAAGAAAGGAACAGTGAGGGAGAGTAGACCAGAAAATTTGAAGAAAGCAAGCCAGGACATCAAGGGGAAGATAAGAAGGTAAGAAGAAAACAGACCAGCAAAGAGGTAAGACAGCTATCAGAGTGAGAAAGGAGGCAGCATTCTCTTACACAATAGCCTCATGGTGGGCTCTCTCTGCCAGCATTACTATCTTCTTTTCAGCCTCTTGTTCTAGTCGGTGCTAAAAAAGAAAATGGGCTGCTTAAAAGTTATGCCTCTAACAGCAAATTTTACTCATCAAAAAGTATTTATTTTAGAATGTCAAATAAAAAACTCCTGTCCTCATGACCTGAAAGAAGAACTCCAAGCACTGTTGGAGGAGCCAACACAGGAACCTTAGGGTATCCCTCAACTTCCCCATTTAAGGAAGCAATATGACATATAAATAGGGGAGAAAATTCACTATTGGAAAGCAGAGCTGGGAGGAATTTCTGCTGAAGGTATTGAAATGAGTCATTCGTTTATTCATTCAGGAATGAAAGCCCTCAGGACTAGGCTGTTCACAGTAGCTTCTCCCTCTACTCAACCCTAATCTTAATCTCTTTCTCACTTGGTATAGAAAATAAAAATTAGAAGTGCTTGGTCAGTTTAAAAAATACTATAAGCACTAGCCAAGCACAGTGGCTCATGCCTGTAATCCCAGCACTTCAGGAGGCCAAGGCGGGTGGATCACCTGAGGTCAGGAGTTCAAGACCAGCCTGACCAACATGGAAAAACCCTGTCTCTACTAAAAATACAAAATTAGTTGGGCATAGTGGTGACTAATATTGGCCTGTAATCCCAGCTACTTGGGAGGCTGAGGCAAGAGAATTGCTTGAACCCAGGAGGCAGAGGTTGCAGTGAGCCAAGATCATGCCACTGCACTCCAGCTTGGGCAACAAGAG